TTAAAAATGCATTGTTGAAAATTGCATATGCATCTTGAGAAGCCTAGGATTCGCAGTGAACAAATTTTCAGCAGTAAATATGTGTGGATGTAGAGATAATACTGACCGTGAATGCCAAAATGTAGCTCCTAAGAGGTCGTCTCAAATAAGAGTCCAAGTTGGCCCAAGTCTCTCTAATCACAGTCCTCTTGTCAAAATCTCTCAGTCTACTCGGAACCAAGATCAAAATCGGGTTTTCCGATGTATTGTTGCAGAGCTTTTGGTTTTCCTGGATGAAATAGGGTTCTGCAAGATGATTTCCAGGGTAGTCCAAATCTTTTTCCAGGTCTTCCAGTTTACAAGGGTGACAATCATCGCTTTCGTCATTCAGACCCGGGCTCAGAAAAATTACCCACAAGCTGATGTTGAAAACAAGAATAGCTGCTATTCCAATTTGAATTACGCGCAAAGAATTGCTATTTCGCATATTGATCATTCTATTGGGAGGTATCATTAGTTTCAGAAACTCTATTTATGTTGTTTTATTCAAGTTTAGGAAAATAAAACTTTAAGGTCTGGTGATTTGTTGCGCTGATTTGTTACGTTAATTTTAAAAACTTTTTAATAAAAGGATATCACATTTAACTTGTTACGACTAATGACAAAATAATCAAGTAAACTCGATTGCAGACGAAAAACAAGACCAATGAGAGACTGATTTTGATTCGGAAAAAGCTAAAATGCGTCCGAGGATTTGTTCACGCAAACCGAATCGAGTCTGTAAACATGTTCAAGTTCGTCAAAGACACAATCAAGTTAAAAGTCATTTTAAAATTTTTGAGTCTATAAATAATTGACAGACCTATGACGCATTAGTAAACTACTTAGTAAGTCATAATTGTTATTAATACTACTAAGAACTCCATAAAAAAAATTCCATGTGTGTTTGTCAGAAAATCATCCCAATTTGGCCAAGCTGAATTAAAAACTATTAATTGAATGTTATATTCTCGCAGATGTCGAAGTCCTCCTTCAACGATGTTTTTCTTATTGAGATAAATGGTAAAGTTTATGAAAATGAGGAGAACAGTTTTGCCCATTGCAACCCACAGCGCAAAAATTGAAGGGCCCAAAAGGGAATGTACTTGTTAGAAGATACATATTTTTGTATAAAGTTGAATATTTTTTTAGGATACCATAAGACGGGAATAGCTAACCTGATAAGTAATTTCTGACATGGTTCTTCAACATTGTTTTTTTTTGCAAAAACGTTTTCTCACTATCGAGAATATTTCTGTCTTTTAGACCAACTTCTGTTGTATTACGAGTTGCTTCAACTTAAAATAAGCTTCCATTTATAGCCATAAACGACGCAAATCATCTTTTGAAAAAATTCAACTAATGCAGAATGTGAATTAATAGTGATCACGTTCAACAATCTGTCCTAGCACAAGGTTCACACGGAAAAAAAGTTGTTGATATCAGAACTTCTTCATTTGTGTCAATCAAAAACTCAAAAATCAACTATTAGGTATCAACAAGTTCGGCATATTCAATTTTTTTCCAAGTATTGCAAGAAAATGGCGTAAATAATGACCCAATTTTTGCAAAAAGAATGGAAAAATTCTCAACCCAAATTTCTCATTTTTTCCAACCAAATTTCGCTGTTTAATAATCCACTTTGAATACAGTTTTCTATACCATTTTCATACTATAAAGTATTGACTATTTGAGTTCAAAGATAAAAAGTATTTTACCTTCGATCTTTTTTGTAGGGTTATGGTTGTTTGAAAAACGCAATTTCACCTAATTTGGGACAATGAACGCGCGGTCTATTAACGCGCGAGCGGTGCTTTATTCGGGCTCAGAAATCATTACAGTATCTTTGGGGCAAGGTACTGTCAAACTGTTTTCAATTTTATCTTTAAATTTTATCAATGTTCTTAAAAATATGAACCATTCACGAGACCTCATGATGCAGTCTGAGTTTTTTTTAGAAAGTTCCTTGTTTCGTTAGATTTTAGCAGAAATAATTTAAGCTCAGTTGATTGTTTTCAAAAGTTGACCCTAAAAAGTTCAAAAAATTCTTTTCTTGTTTTTGCTATGGGGGGGGGGGGTTGAATTTGAATTCTACTCTCTCTGTATTTTTTATCAACCATGAGTAGGTTAATGGATTCTTAGTTTTTTTTTGTAATTATACATAAAACATGACAAGGTGCAGCTTGCTACTAGCTTTTGAGTAACGCAATAACTGCTGTAAGATTTGCAAATCCTTTAGTGAAAATCTCAACAAAGTACAACAAACCCATGTAGACAGCTGGTTTGTTATTGGTTTGGTAGGTCACAGTAACCGAGGTTGGAGTCAGGAATTTCTTCACATATTCTAGTCAAAACCCTACGAATTTTTCTAGAAATTGAAGTGATAATGATGAAACGGAGATTATTATAATAAGTGATTATTACGGGTTAATAAGTGATTAGCAGCATTAATTCAGTTATGCCCATGTAGACAGCTGGTTTGTTATTGGTTTGGTAGGTCACAGTAACCGAGGTTGGAGTCAGGAATTTCTTCACATATTCTAGTCAAACCCTACGAATTTTTCTAGAAATTGAAGTGATAATGATGAAACGGAGATTATTATAATAAGTGCTTATTACGGGTTAATAAGTGATTAACCCGTATACGGTAAACTCGATACGGTTACGTTTCTTCAACAAGAGCTCGAGAAATATTATGAATTACAAATAACGATATTGTTAGTTGAGACTGGGTAACATAGAGAGGGCAGTTTGCATGGCTATCTCAATATTAAAAGGGCATACAAGACAAGAAGAAGGATCTTACGGGACTGAACGAAGTGTGGATGCCTCCTTGCAGCTTCTTTACTCTGTTGTCATCAGCAGCCTGAAAAAAAGCAACCAGTTAGTTCATTACTGATACACAAATGGGTAGCACTAGTTTTTAAATCATTATTTCAAGTCAGAAACATTCGCCATAAGTATTGTCAGAAAAACGCAAATGAAGAAGGATAAACAGTTCTATATTTTAAGGGAATGTTTCAGGCTCATTTCAAAACAACTAATCGTTACGCATAACTTTCATGATTTTTTAGTTTTTCGTTTTTTGTCGTTTCTATTTTCAAGTTTACTGCAGCTGATCAATTTTAACTAACCCTGCTTCTGAAGAAGCCAGTCGGCGATTTAGTTTTGTAGATCCATCCCATGATTCTCTCCAGTGCAGACAGGTGAATGTAGGTGTCATCGTCCACTTTGAACACCAGCTCTGAATTGTTGCAAAACTTCTGCACCCATTTGAAGGAGAGGAGCATTTGGAGGGTGAGTTTGTTGTACTCGTCCTTGAAGTTAAGCACTACATGGCTTGTTCTTGAGTCACTATTTCTTCCTCACGCTCGTCAGCCGGAATAGCAACCTGAAAACATAAGTCTTAGCTTGGAAACGAATTTGCTTTTATGATTTTAAGTTTTTCTTCTTGAGCAATCTGAAAAAACGCCTGCTTCTTAGAAATTTTAGATTTTCCTTGGTTTAATTGACAGTTTGGATTACAAAAGCAATTTTTTTTTGAAAATGAAAACATCAAAATAGGTTTCGATCAAAACGGATCAAATGCTTTAGAAGATTATTAAAAATGCATTGTTGAAAATTGCATATGCATCTTGAGAAGCCTAGGATTCGCAGTGAACAAATTTTCAGCAGTAAATATGTGTGGATGTAGAGATAATACTGACCGTGAATGCCAAAATGTAGCTCCTAAGAGGTCGTCTCAAATAAGAGTCCAAGTTGGCCCAAGTCTCTCTAATCACAGTCCTCTTGTCAAAATCTCTCAGTCTACTCGGAACCAAGATCAAAATCGGGTTTTTCAATGTATTGTTGCAGAGCTTTTGGTTTTCCTGGATGAAATATGGTTCTGCAAGATGATTTCCAGGGTAGTCCAAATCTTTTTCCAGGTCTTCCAGTTTACAAGGGTGACAATCATCGCTTTCGTCATTCAGACCCGGGCTCAGAAAAATTACCCACAAGCTGATGTTGAAAACAAGAATAGCTGCTATTCCAATTTGAATTACGCGCAAAGAATTGCTATTTCGCATATTGATCATTCTATTGGGAGGTATCATTAGTTTCAGAAACTCTATTTATGTTGTTTTATTCAAGTTTAGGAAAATAAAACTTTAAGGTCTGGTGATTTGTTGCGCTGATTTGTTACGTTAATTTTAAAAACTTTTTAATAAAAGGATATCACATTTAACTTGTTACGACTAATGACAAAATAATCAAGTAAACTCGATTGCAGACGAAAAACAAGACCAATGAGAGACTGATTTTGATTCGGAAAAAGCTAAAATGCGTCCGAGGATTTGTTCACGCAAACCGAATCGAGTCTGTAAACATGTTCAAGTTCGTCAAAGACAAAATCAAGTTAAAAGTCATTTTAAAATTTTTGAGTCTATAAATAATTGACAGACCTATGACGCATTAGTAAACTACTTAGTAAGTCATAATTGTTATTAATACTACTAAGAACTCCATAAAAAAAATTCCATGTGTGTTTGTCAGAAAATCATCCCAATTTGGCCAAGTTGAATTAAAAACCATTAATCGAATGTTAAATTCTTGCAGATGTCGAAGTCCTCCTCCAACGATGTTTTTCTTATTGAGATAAATGGTAAAGTTTATGAAAATGAGGAGAACAGTTTTGCCCATTGAAACCCACAGCGCAAAAATTGAACGGCCCAAAAGGGAATGTACTTGTTAGAAGATACATATTTTCGTATAAAAATGAAAATTTTTTTTAGGATACTATAAGACGGGAATAGCTAACCTGATAAGTAATTTCTGCCATGGTTCTTCAACATTGTTTTTTTTTCAAAAACGTTTTCTCACTATCGAGAATATTTCCGTCTTTTAGACCAACTTCTGTTGTATTACGAGTTGCTTCAACTTAAAATAAGCTTCCATTTATAGCCATAAACGACGCAAATCATCTTTTGAAAAAACTCAACTAATGCAGAATGTGAATTAATAGTTATCACGTTCAACAATCTGTCCTAGCACAAGGTTCACACGGAAAAAAAGTTGTTGATATCAGAACTTCTTCATTTGTGTCAATCAAAAACTCAAAAATCAACTATTAGGTATCAACAAGTTCGGCATATTCAATTTTTTTCCAAGTATTGCAAGAAAATGGCGTAAATAATGACCCAATTTTTGCAAAAAGAATGGAAAAATTCTCAACCCAAATTTCTCATTTTTTCCAACTAAATTTCGCTGTTTAATAATCCACTTTGAATACAGTTTTCTATACCATTTTCATACTATAAAGTATTGACTATTTGAGTTCAAAGATAAAAAGTATTTTACCTTCGATCTTTTTTGTAGGGTTATGGTTGTTTGAAAAACGCAATTTCACTTAATTTGGGACAATGAACGCGCGGTCTATTAACGCGCGAGCGGTGCTTTATTCGGGCTCAGAAATCATTACAGTATCTTTGGGGCAAGGTACTGTCAAACTGTTTTCAATTTTATCTTTAAATTTTATCAATGTTCTTAAAAATATGAACCATTCATGAGACCTCATGATGCAGTCCGATTTTTTTTTAGAAAGTTCCTTGTTTCGTTAGAAATTAGCAGAAATAATTTAAGCTCAGTTGATTGTTTTCAAAAGTTGACCCTAAAAAGTTCAAAAAATTCTTTTCTTGTTTTTGCTATGGGGGGGTTTGAATTTGAATTCTACTCTCTCTGTATTTTTTATCAACCATGAGTAGGTTAATGGATTCTTAGTTTTTTTTTGTAATTATACATAAAACATGACAAGGTGCAGCTTGCTACTAGCTTTTGAGTAACGCAATAACTGCTGTAAGATTTGCAAATCCTTTAGTGAAAATCTCAACAAAGTACAACCCAATTTAATCGATTTAGAATATGAAAATTCTTTATTTTGAAAACGTTTTGTGAAAGAAAAATAATTTTGTTTGCTAAATTCACATAAATCTCAGTGTGGGCCAGAATTAGTCTGAAGTTAGGATGAACAGAAATAAAACAAGACTGCTCGTATCAGGGCGAAGCCCTGAATGTTCCGATTGCCTTTTAAGGTCTATGGAGCAGTAATAACTTGAAAAATTAAATACATATATTTTTTAAATTTGGGATTTTTGCGAAAATCATCCCCACTTACGCCATATTAAGTACAAAGTGATAGATTCCGCTCCTATTAACAAATCAATTCAGGCAAATAAGATTCCTTCAACAAATTTGGAATGATTTCTAAGACGGATAAAGTCTCCGCTTACGCGGTAATAGCGCGAATCAGATCGCGCGGTAATTTTCCCAAATTGACCAAAATGGCAATCTTTAAACCCCCATAACTTAACGAAAAATTATCACACGTGAAATGTCTTTTCAAGTGCTTAGGACAACAAGAACTTTTGAATGAAATAAAAAAAATCCTGCCACAATGGCTAGTTAAAGAGTCGAAATTTGTCTGAAGGAAGAAAAACCCACCCCGAGCACAAATATTCCGTTACTTTTGTTACGAAAGTCGGAACAAGTAGAAAAAAATCATAGAAAACTTATACTTTGCTAAAACATCTCGGCTGAAATTACGACGATGAAATGAATTTCTCGTCAAAAATAAAACTCAGACGCTACTTCAGGTGCGTTAAATAGCAGTCTGAGCGATCAAAGTTTTGACATGATACGAGCAGTTTTAAAAGGTTTCTCTAGGAATTGGCCATTTTTCAGTCTCTCATCCTTTTTTGTATGCTTGTTTACTTTTTACAGTTCTATTGCTTTTATTGAGCTTCTACATAAAGATAAGTTGATTTTATATGCCAAAATCAAAAACCAGGATTTTTTTCTCAACAAGTTCAAGAAAAACATCAACTCAAACATGAAAAACATCATCCATCATCTACATTCATTCAAGGGTCTTCTTTTATAAATAAGAGTTTTCTACATGAAACTAGCAGGATATCTACCTGATAAAGTATAAAGGTCATCATTCTGACAAGTTCATCAAAACATCAAAAAAGTGTTACCTTTCTATGAATTACGTGGGTTGAAACTGCATTGCTTTGCAGAATGTTCTATTTTAATTGCAGTGGGTTAAAAAAAGTGTCAGTATACATAGATCAACTATATTAAATCTATTCACATCTTTTGATATCAATTTTCCACGTGGATGGTACAATGATCTAAAGGTGATTCAGATGGGTTAAATTTCAGCTATTGGTACAAACATACCCACAGTTGAAATATTTGTTCACAATTTAATTTTGGAATTTGATATCCTATTTGGGGTACAAAAAATTTTCGGTAAAATTTGTTTCAGTAATTGCAAAATCTAACAAACTGCACCTATCAAGGCAGAACCTTGAAAGTTTTTACTGCTTAACAACATCAATCAAACGCTTTTGATTGAAAAAACTTTAAAATGTTCAAAAAATTGAGAAAATTTTGAGCTTGTTGATGTTTTTCCCCCTAACTTTACCCCCCCCCCCCCCCCCCCATACACTATTCGAAGTACGAAAAAGATCTATTTTATTTTGCGTGCGGTAACGCTTTCATAGTCGCAAATCACTAGAGCCGAATTTGTAAAAGAAAATTGCCGATCACGCTTTAATGGGAAAAAGATTTGAGGCCCGCGTATCAATATCTCTTAAACTGTATCAAAATTTCCCATACTTTTACTAATTTTGTCCTAATTTGTATCGTTTGCAACTGGGATAAAATCATAAAATCGATACAGTTGTGATATTAACAACCTTTTCAAAAAAAGTTTTGACATCATTATTGAAAAAATGTTCAAGATGCAACTGATTTGCTACTTGTTTTAACCCTTAATACAACACAAAATCTTCTGTTCGAAATTTGGAAACGTTTTTTTTCTTGGGTTTTAAATTTTGGACCCAAAGCAAGCAAGAGTACTTTACTTGCTAAGGGGCACTTGTTTCACATCTTGTTCTCAAGTTTTCTTTTCCACTAAAAAACTTTTTGTATTAACAAAAACCATTAGGAGGCCAAACTGGGAAGCTGTGAATTTCGTGAATTTTAAGCAGATTTAGCAACAGACTAAAACAGATTTGTCCTTGAATCGTTAATACGGCTATTTTTTTTGCTCGTAGAATTCCACGAACAAATTGCCAAACAACGCTTATCAAAAGCAGACAGAATAATCAAGACCGCTCGTATCAGGGGGAAGCCTTGAAAGTTCCGACTGCCTTTTAAGGTCTATGGAGCATTATTAAGATGAAAAATTTGAAAGTAATAAAAAAAAATTTTTTTTTGAAAAAATTTGAGACTTTAAGTATAAAGTGATAGATTTTGCGCCTATTAACAAATCAATTATGGCATATAAGCTTGCTTGAACCAATTTGGAACGATTTTTAAGACGGATCAAATCTCGCTGACACGTTAATAGCGCGAAATTTATCGCGCGTTAATTGTCTCAAATTGGCCAAAATGGTCAAAAACGGCTAGTTAAAAAGTCAAAATTTGTCTGAAGAAAAAATAATCCACTAGAAATTTTGCGGAACCCAGCGCGCTTTGCAGAATTCAAAAACAAATATGTTTTGCTTACATTATAGCTTACATTATAACTTGCGGAAGTCGCTTACAGTTGCGATATCAGCCTACAATTTTCTTAGGCGCTCGTCGTAGAAAGCACGACACAACTTATGTACCGACACAACTTACGTCACACGATAAATGTGCGAGACATATATAGAAGTTTTGGAAGTTGAATTCAGTTACTTTTTTTTACCTATTAAAACATATTTAACAGCTTGACCTAAAACACATAAAACGCTGCTCCTATCTAGTCCACATTCTCGCCTCGTAATGATTATTTTTCGCTACCTGTTTAAGTTGCATATATTCAACTATAGCTATCTAATAGAGTGATGATTTAAACCATCCGCACGAAACAAAAAAATCAAAACGGACTATAAACTCAAGCAAACTATAAAAAAATTCAAACAAAACGACTAAAACTTTAAACTCGTTTTTTCAAAGTGGGATAAAACTGAACTAAAAAGTTTGAGCACGAAAGTGTTTTAGACTTTAACCAGAAAAATTTCGATGCCTTTGATTTTTCAAATTTCACAACCAAATATTTACCGCAAAACAGATTATTTTGGCTGTTTTTAATGAATCATGAATAACGCTAAAACTAGGCTTAAAGGTTGTATTAAACGAAGCATCTCACAGAGCTCAATAAAATTTTACCGTGGTAAAATCTCTTAAACTTTGCTCCAATTGTTTGAAACATGTTTTTAAACAAAATTTTGCGGTTTATTTTGTAAAATTGACCTTTATTGGTTATGAGCAAAAATTTTTCTCTAGTAGAGATTTTTGGAGATTTTGCCAGCCCAAAACTGTGTTG